GAGAGAGAGAGAGAGAAAAGAAAGAAAGAAAGAAAGAAAGAAAGAAAGAGAGAGAGAAGGAAAGCAAAAACGAGCAGCAGAAAGCAGACACCCTTCCTAGACTGAGCACATACTTAGTGTTAAAACCTACTTGTTTACTGTCTGCTAACCTATCCAAAAATAGTTCCCTTCACAGTTCCCTGCGCCATCTTGAAAGGCAGCCGTGCTTTTGCGTTGAAGCTTGCAATGATAGAGACATGCTAATAATAGTCCAATGTGTTAAAAAAAGGTCTCTGTCATTGCAAGGTCACCTTTCGCGGTTCAACGCAAAGGCACGGCTACCTTTCAAGATGGCGCAGGGAACCGTGAAAGGACTATTCTGCTCTCCTCGTGGCCCATGCACTTGAACATCCATTAGCCACAACATCCTTGAAGATATGTGCGCTATTCCTAATCAAATGAAATCCAGAAGTTGAGTTAAAATTATTCAATATTTATCCCTAGGCAGTTATTTTCAGCTATCATAGTGCAAAATAATCGTTTGATGGTCACCCTGTGGTAGCCCATGACACTTTGCCATCGTAGTAAATATTCTACTTCCGATTCTTCGATCAATCGGTCGATGTACGTTTCAGTAAACTACAACGAACTGTCGTCCTTTTGATCCAAGATTTCACGCTTTGGATGGCAAACTTTGACGCTATCATAGACGAAAACATTGAGACTGAGGATGTCTCTCGCGTTTCGGAAGATTATGTTCCAGTTCAGAAAGAATCAGTCGTTGTACGAGGGATAGGACATATGACAATGTGAGTTTTTGTTTACGAGTTAACTTTCTCTTCAACCCACGATCCTTTCCGTTCTTGGACACGAAATTATTATCATCCGCAGTTCGTTTCATTTCTCAATAAACTTTTAATTCTTCTGTTCCGAAGATTCGGTTTAAACAGCAAGTTTGACCCGACTTTTCCTCAAGGACTTCACGCCAAGGTAAAATACGTATACGAGTGTCGTTCAACGCATGGTAGACATTTCGTGTTCTTTATAACGTTTTGTTTATGTAGGAAGAACAATGTTTTACGCTGTATAATATCCTACTTATCTCTTTTAGCTAAATAAATACCTTCTCGATTAAAGAATGATAATTTGTTTGGCTTTTAACTAAAACATAGCACCTAACTTGGAACTTGAACTACAGCACTTCTAGAAGCTTTTTAGTCAAGAAAAAAAAACCTTGTTCTTGAACAAATATTCCGCAAGGAAATGCTAACGTCTAACTTACTTCTAAACTACTAATTAATACCTCCTGTTTGCTTTCATTTTGACAAGATTCAAGTTATTTTCGAGTTAAAGGAACTAGTAAAAAAATGTCAACATTATTTAGGAAGTCATTTTGAACTTGCAATTTGCTTTCTAAATTTTTTTGTAAGCTTTCAGGAGTCATGATCTCTGTAATTTAATATTATACGGGCTAAGAATTTTTGAATAATCTTCTAATTTTGAAATTTAAAATGTTTACTAGAATTGATAATAACGCAAGGCATTATTTATAATATTTGTTATTTTAGTTCGCTCCTACTATGTATAACACTCTATGTTTAAACGAAAGCTATAAATCTTATGATTGCAATATGTTTCTGGGGGACATGTCGTAAAAATAGAATGGTTTCCCTAAGGGTTTCTGATACTCCATGTTCAAAAAATTGTATGAGAAACAATAACACAAAAAACATGAATTATGCATTTTTTCACAACAATAAAGGAATATATACTTTTTGTGCCAATATTAACATAATAAATTAAATTTATGTTAAAGCGTTGGTTACCTAAGGGGAACAAATATTTGTTTTTTGAGAGTGAATTCTTGGTCTTATAAGATTATGCAAGAAGTTCCACTATTTTTGTAGTAGCTAGCAAGATTTCAGTGTGTTTTCATAGGGCTTAGACACTTTGTAAGAACAATATTACCATAAATAGTTAAAAGGACTTTGCTTGTGTGTGTGTGTGTGTGTGTGTGTGTGTCTTCAAAAGGCATAATCATAATCATTCCCATGCATATATAGAGGTTTTGCACAATCACATGATGGCAGCAATGACAGGAGGCAGAAACAATTGAATCTGGTCTGATCTTATTTACATAAGAAATAATTCAGTTTCCCAGGAGAGGACTCTATTGTTGTGCCTCCTGTCATGGCTGCCAGCTATATATTGTTCAAGAACTGGTATTTTAAATTATTTTACTTTTGTCAATGCACATGCTTAAAACATCACTGAGTTGAATGACATGTAACCTCATCTAAATCCCTCATTTGTTGATCTTGTATTATCTAATGTTATCTTTGCCAGGTTGCTCCAGAGGAATTCAAGGCCACCATAGATAGAGTCAACAGAGTATTGAGTAAAGCTATGCCAATAAATATACGATGGATGTTATGTGGATGTATATGTTGCTGTTGTACATTAGGCATGTCCATGTGGCCTGTAGTTTGCTTAAATAAAAGGGTACGAAACAATAGAGCATTTTCACTCACGTGAGAAGGCAGCCATATTGGTGAACCAAACAATAGAAACTTTCTGGATAGTTTTTGCATAAAAATAGAGTTCTAATCCCAGAGGATAGAAAATGTATTGTTTCTGGTACTCCAACTTGGCCGCTGTGATGTCATGTGAAAACGATCTGTAGCCTGCAAATAATTTATAATATGTATAATATATAGATTAATAAAGTTCGGAATAATGTTTTTTTTCAGATTATATGTCATTACCTTCTGAATAAATTCTTTAAGCTGAACCTTGTTAACCAGACTGACCTGTGCAGTTACGTTAAAATTGTCAAGCATTAGTTTCTATTTAAAGTGCCTCTGACCCCTAACTCAATGTTTTCAGCATTGATTCTACATGAAGTTAAAAGTTAAATAGTAAAATATTTTTATATGATTTGAGTGATGCATCTTGGAGGTATCAAGGTTTATACTTCCAGTATGCTGATGAGTGTGATATCGTAGTAGGCATTATTGAATATACGAAAATTTACTGGGGTAGTAAAATATCCTGTATAAAACATAATTATCTTACTCAGGGTTTATAGAAAAGTTATTGCAAATTTGTTTCCTCATAGTAATCAGTGTTTTGATTTTAAAATGATGACAAATAAACCCAAATGCCTACTATGACATCACACTCATTAGCATACTGGAAGTATAAACCTTGATATCTCCAAGATGCATCACTCAAATCATATAAAAATATTTTACTATTCAACTTTTAACTTCATGTAGAATCAATGTTGAAAACTTTGAGTAAGGGGTCAGAGGCACTTTAATGAAGAAATAGTGCTCAAGGGTCTGAAATTTWAAAAAAAACTACTTCTGAGTACATACTAATTTGTCAGTCCAGATTCTAATAATTGTTTTATAGTGTAAAAATATTTGATGACTAAGATGATTCAGTTCATTTTATTCTTACAGCTGTATTTGCCTTCTTTATTTGACTTGGTATTGGAACCTGTTTCGTGACCTTTAGAATATGCAATAATGTGATCACAAAGCCACTCTTTTTGTATTAATTATTTATAAACACCTAATAGGTCATTAGTAATGACTGAATTCTTTTTATATTTCTAGACAAAACATTCATTAAACAAGATATTGGATGCAGAAAACTGCCATCTTTACCACAAGGTAATTTATAATTAGGCTATATAGAGCATTAATAATCATTAATGTTAACAATAATTTTAGGAAGCAACAGTGGTTGTCATAGTGATGAAGGTGATCAGCTCTACTTAATAGAAAAGCCAAGGTTTCATATCTGAAATCGTTATCGTTTGTAGGTAGAGTAGCCTGTTGGTTTTCTCCTGTGCTTTGAGGCTTTTTGTCTAGAATTGCTGTCCATGTTATTCATTATTATTAAATGAATGAATGAACCAACGAACGAATTAATGAATGAACAAATAAACGATAAATTAACAAATGGGACAGTGGTTGTACAGAGTAAGTATATGAGAGTATCTACTACTCTTCCCAGTAGACCGAGGTAGTTGTGATTTTTTAATCGCCTTCATAGCGTCTTTTATGTTATCCGCAAGTAGATTTCAAATCGACCACATGATGCCAATGTTGTACCATGAGGACAAGTTTTTTACACCACGTGATTAAAATTTGACTGAATTTTGATCACATGGTGTAAAAAAACTTGTCCTCGTGATACAACATTGGCATAACGTGGTCGATTTGAAATGTACTTGCGGATAACAAAACAGACGCTACGAAGGCGATTAAAAAATCACAACTACCTCGGTCTACTGGGAAGAGTAGAAAGGCAGGGTTGTTCATATTTCGCAAATTCCAATTGAAATTTAGTAGATTTGTACAGAAGTAAGAAAATGTGGGAATCAGTTTGCTTTGGTGAGAGGCATTTGATCTCAAAGCTGCTAAATACACACCCCATGCTTACAAAGAAACTAGATATATTAGGGAAAGGTTGGGGGGAGGGCCTATACAGGACTGATAGCCCCCAGCTTTTTGATCAACTTAGGAATGGTTGATAAACTAAATGTAATCTCAGTCCCCAACTTTTAGCTTTAAGTATACTAGTTTAGTATATTTTCCAATTCCAATCCCTCTCCTCACTTTTAAGGGTGCCCCTCACAGTCCTTGGGTTTCACATGAAAGCTTACATATATTGCTTTTTTCAGCTTGGTCTTCACTGGCATCTAAATAAACAAAAGTGCAGTTCAAGTAATATGAAAGAATATGTAAGTAAACATCATCCAGTTGCGCTGCTTCAATGTAAGAGATAATAGAGTCAAAATTAGATTTAGTACCAGGCGTTTCAGAAGAGATCACTCTTCCTTTATTCAGTGGCAATATGAGGACCAAACAAGTCAAGCATTTTAAAGCATTAACCTATTTCACTCCAGCCTGCTCTCAGTCTGACCTCTAGCTCAGCTGGTAGAGCATCGATAGTACAATTCCAAAGGTTGTGGGTTCAATTTCCAGCAAGGTCGGAAATTAATTTTTCCGAATTTAATTCCAAGGGTCTTTTGCCCAGAATAACCTTGTTCCCAAATACTATAACTTATTTATATTTCTATACCTTCATGTATTTCATAAGTGCTACGCGGTCCAAATATTCTCATTCAAGCATTAACAGTTTGTCATGGCCTTGTAGCCTAATTTTGACTGTGCCATCTGATATCTTTTACATTAACTAAAAGAATAAAAGGTTTCATCACCCTGGTTATTTGCATATAGCTCTAAGCGAATTATTTCTTTATTATGTTGGTAAATGTTTAATATTTATTTTGTTTCATTTTACCAGGTTTTATTAATAGATTTTATACCAATGACAAATATTCTACGGCCTGATTGAAATCTCTTCAACCAGATCTCAAGTTGTTGTCTATATAAAACTATGACAGACATTTGCTTGCAACAATTTTTATACAAGGCTGTGATGTAAGTAGACTATAAGCTAAGGTAGCTATCTAAAAATGTGATTTCACTGATGGAAATCCCTGTACAGCAACTCTTGCTACAGCAGACACCCTTGGGACCTTCACTGGAGGTCCGTAAAAGCAAGCCTTCACAATAATGCAAATGAAATTAATAACGGTCATTTCTTTGTTAGTATTGGTGCTGGAGATTTTTCTCCTGTCTGTAATAGCAAGGTGTCTGCAAAGTGAGAGTTGAATGTATTTTAGAGAGTTGGACTGCCTTATGCAAACCACAGCGGTGACAGTTCAAAAACATAATATTTGTAAATTTAAAACATGTACTTAGGAAGAAAAGTGTGGGCTGTTAATCAGTGACATCCTTCTGCTGTGTAAGGAGAATCAATACCACAAAATTCACCACATATTTCTTTAAACTCCCACTTAAGATCCCTTATGGATCTACAGATAACTATGTTTTTACATTCTTGATTTTTAAGAGTCATTATTTTAAGACCTTATATTTTGGGCTTGATGCTCGTCCATTTCAGACAAGGTATCAACCCATTAGATAATAGAATAGTAATTATTGGAAGATTAATATATGTATCTTAGTATAGGCTCTCTAGTTATCACTGTTTTCATTGTTTTGTGCTGATAAAGACCAAAAAAGTTAACATTGCAACACAGTAATCAGTAGAATAACCCTTGCAGCATGTCAGAATTAAGCTTAACTTGGATGACACGACAAGAGATTTACATTCACATGAGATTAAAATTCTTTTGTTTTGTCCCCTCAATTTGAGCTGCTTTGACGTATCATGCAAGGGGTCTATAGACAACAATCATTTGAACAAATCTTCCCATGTAACTTCACATGGTTCATATACCATAAATTATTGCATTGATGGCATATTATTCTATTGCCTGTTAACCTGTTGCAGCTACAAGTTTGTCTCTATCATTATGTAGCAATGAAGACAGTGGTAACAGTAAACTAAGAAAGAAGGGAGTGATGCAACTCAGAAATCTAAAATCAGAAGACATTACACCCAAGCGGAAAAGATCAATAATTAATTATTAAGGGGAAGTGAAAATAGGTAAATATTTATTGAACCACGAGTCTTTAAGTGGCAAGATAAATATTCACCATGATCACTGAGCCTGAGGTTTGTAATTGTTTTAGTATAATTTTAGACTCGAATATCAGAGAAAATATAAAATTCAGGAGAAAAGAGAATGCTTTAGTATTATTTCTGCTCTGGCAAACTTTGGGAAACCTCATGCTGTAATCACTTTTCCAGCAGTGAATATCGCATCATAATCCCTGGTTGCTCGACCATTCTCAGCGCCCAATACTCTCTATTCAAATCTAAAATTTTACTAAACTCCAGTAATATTTATCTTCTATTTGTTCTTTAAAACTCATTTCAGTTCCATTAAACGGTTAACAAATTATAAAGTCATCTTAGCAAGATTATAAAAAGAAAGTGCTTGTTTGTTTTTGTTTTGAATATTTATTTCTAAATCCTAGGAATGCATGTATCAACATAAAATTAATGCAAAAAATATTGATTAAAATTATAGAAAAGAGTTGATGCATCTGGCACGGAGCCAAGCCACATGTACCATATATGCAACACAAAACAGAGACTGATATCTCTGAGCCTTATAAATTTCATAGCATTAAAAGTTTTAATAGTCATGGTAATAAAAAATTATCACGTGTAATGACCTACAGCAAAAACATAATATACTATTTTGGAACAGCACGGACTACATGCGGAGCACCAATATTACTGTGGCTTTCCATATTCTATGAACTCAGACCTTTCAATGGCTTGTTGTGAATTTTTTTTTTTTTTTCTTTTTTTGCCGCCAGTCAAGAACTTAAAAGGTTACGACTGATTAGTATTTTGAAAAACAAATTTCAGCATGCAGCTTGAATTTACTGAGTTCACAGAATAGAGTGAAGGCATTTAACCCATGAAATAAAAATTATTAGTCAATGTGTAATAGTCAAATATTGACACAAGAGAAAACAATGGAATTAAGGTCTTCTAAGTGTATTAGTCTAATATCTATTTCACAGGTTTAATGACTTCACTCTATTGAAAACCACAGTAACAGTGGTAGTGATGAATGATGTAACATTCAAGTACACCTGTCCTTAGAAAAAATAACCCATGTTCAATATCATATAATGCTCACTAGAAGAAAACCGATAGGACTACTGCCCTGCCCACCCCTCCTCTCTATGATTCCCAACTAGTTAACTGACTAACATAATGAATCAACTTTAGTCATAGCCTCTTGATTGCTCGAATCTGATAATTCTTGGGTGATATTTGGATTTATTTTTATAAGTTTTTAAAGAAAAAATTCAAAGCTAATTTGGTCCTTGTAATTTCAAATAATAAGCTTATTGTTAGTTATATAGTTTGAGTTATGTTTTTCTATTCTTGTTACTAAAAGAAAGGATAATTTGAAATTTACAATATAAACATGTTGGGTCGTTGGGTTATTTTTTTCTTTATAATACACTCTACAAAATAATTACTCGATTCTGAATGGACAAGAGGAGTACAATGCTCCATTTTACAGTTCCATTCAGTGACCACAAATAATAGTCTCTAGCCGAGGCTGGAGTTTCCGTGCATAGCAAAACTACAGTTTATCATGCGCGGTAACTCCAGCCTCGGCTAGGAACTATTATTCGTGGTCACTGAATGGAACTGTTCCATTCATTACAGTTCCATTCAGTGACCAYGAATAATAGTCTCTAGCCGAGGCTGGAGTTTCCGTGCATAGCAAAACTACAGTTTATCATGCGCGGTAACTCCAGCCTCGGCTAGGAACTATTATTAGTGGTCACTGAATGGAACTGTAAAATGAAGTATTAAATCCCAGATTGTCATCTGTAGAGTCCCAATTTTTGCTCAATTTTTTTGAGTGTATTATAAACAAAAAATCGCTCTATCTTCTCATACAATTCAGAATTTATAGATATTCATGATGTTTTGAAAGTTCTCAAATTGAACTCGCCTATAAAGGCAAGTCCAATTTTGAAAACTTTCAAAACATCACCTTGTACCTAGAAATTCTGAATTGTACTTGAGATCGTGCGATTTCCTTTACTAATATTATCCTGTACTTCTACAAAGATTTTCCATCTTGTTCTCTAAATTTGACTTACTTTAGATAGTACACTTAACGAAATTACTTGCTTCTGACTGGTGAGAGGAGTACAATTAATTGTTAATTGTACTCTGTAGAAGAACCTAACTATAGACCCCTCTCAGCACGTTGGAATGCAGCTCAATATGGGGGACAAAACAATAGGTTTCAATTCTCAGGAAATTGGAATTATTTTGTTTTGTCCCCCAGATGGAGCTGCTTTGACATCACATGCAAGGGGTCCATTAAGTTGCTATCAAAACCATGTTAAGAACATTATATTTTCAGATTTCTTAATATGTTTTGCTTGGGTTTCAATGTATTTGTAAAAAGCGTAGACTGTAATATATAACTGAGTGTGCCAGCATGTAATTAATTATAACTATAAGCTTTATTTTACAATTATTTGTTTCATTGACTCATTTAAGGAAAGTTGAAAAAAATATTAAATAAATACGTTTTTCATGCAAAAATAAATTGTAATATTGTTGTCTTTTGGAGGTCTGTGGGTTGTATTTTTAAAGCTTTCATAATTCTTAAGTAAAGGAAATAAAAAGAAAAAAGGACAGATGAAAAGAAAAAGAGGGCTCCAGTGGCGGATCCAGGGGGGTCGAAGGGGTCCACGGAACCCCCCTTGAAGGTTTGATCTTTTAGGTAATAGAAATATGTCTTATATAAATTTTGCTTAAAAGTATCTACAAAGATAATGTTGAACACGAAATGATAGATATTTGCTGTTATTTTTAATTTACCTTTAAGTTCCGTTACTAGATAGTAAATTAGGTGATAAGAGCCATTTTTTTGTCAAACATCGACTAAACAAAAGAGAATTATACACAGTTTAAGAAACGGAAATCCCCTTTGAAAAATCCTGGATCCGCCACTGGGCTCCAGTTTTATCAATGATTGTTTTTTCCCTTAGTGAATTGATTACTTGATAAAAAACCTTTTTGGCTCGCATGAACATATTAATTTTTAGCTACACCATGAAAATATTAAAGAGTAATGACTCCCTTGAGTAAGAGTATGATCTTGTCCCCAAGACGTTTTGTGGCAAAAAAAGTCTAGTTCTATTTATGATTATAAATGATATTGTTAGTAACTCACCTTAGTTATTGCTGGTTTTTAAGCTACTAAGGTCTGTAAGGAAAAATTTAAAGGGTCTACACATCCCAAGATGCATTGTATCTCCGATTTTGGCGCCAAATTTAATCAACCACGTGACTCGCTCAAACAAGATGGCGGACAAAACAAGGGTTTCAACACAGAAAAGAAAACGCAAAAATACACCACAAAAAAACATTAATAATAGTGATTCTACTGATTCCGATAAAGAGAAAGAGGCAAAAAAAGGTAAGTATGGTCTCAAAGTCGGCATTGGTGAAAATGTAGAGAGAAAATCTGCAGTGGACGGTGGAAGATTTATATACCGTGTCTTCAAGTTTGAATCTCTGACAGACAAAGTTTACAACTTGCTTGCTTGAACCAAACTTTCCTGTTATGATTACTAATATCATCGAATCCCTTTAAGCAAAAACAGCGCCACAAGACATTAAAGATGAAATGAAAGACAAGTTCAAAATGGAAATGCCCCAAGATTTTTATGATTTTTGGGAATTTTGCAAGACTTTGGACTCAGATAAACCTGAATGTAAGTTAAAATTTATCAGAGCAAGTATTAGATTTAAAGCAAGGGGTTAAAACAAGGGGTGGAGGGGTCAGTCACCAGTTTTTTGATATTTGAATATCCATGAACCACCCCCCTCCCTTACTTTGTGACCAGGTTTTGCATAACAACATAGCTGCAGTAAACAATTTTATACCTGGACCATTCCTGGACCAAATGGGGACATTTGCACACTTTGCATAGCAATTTAAATTTTGATACAATACAAATAAAAACATTACATTTGAAAAGAGTGTACAGAAATTAATAAACTGGAAAGTTTGAAGAGGTTTTGATAAAATGCACTTAAGTTATGGTGACCAAAGTTGGCTTTTTTTACAACGATCGTATCGTGGTAGGCAAGCCTTTTTTAATTTGCATTGAATTGAAATTGAAATTGTGATGCAAGATGTGCAATTTTGCCATTATTAAGTATATATTAACCATTTCATGCAGCTTTAATTCCCTTCACTATAAAATCATTTTTGGAAAACATCATATACTTCAATAGTCAATATTAATGATTACTAATATCTACGTAGGTGCATTGATTGATACACTGGATTTGGATCTGGTTGGTCCATTTGACGTACTGGCAGGCAAGTTCAAGAACATTGAGGAAAGTTCAGTTGTTTCCTATCATTTGCACTGGCGGCATTATTATGACCCCCCTGAATTTCAGACTGTCATAAGAGCATGTAACAGTGATCAAGGCTATCACATTGGATATTTCAGGTTTGTCTAAGAATTTATCAATGCAGTTCCTACTCCATGTAGAGAACATTAGTGCTGAGTCAGAATAATCACCACTTTCCATAAATCAGTTCACTAGTCAAACACAAAGTCCAAAAAAAGTATAAAAAGTTAGCGTTTTGATGTCTTAAACCAATTCTATACGTAAGCGAGTTGGCAAACGCATGATTGATGATTTTATATGTAGCCGAGTTGGCATAGGCAAGTAAGTCCATAGGCGAGTAAGTCCATAGGCAAGTAAGTCCGTAGGGGAGTTGACCTAGAACCATTCAACCAAGACTGCAAGTTTCCTTTGAAACTTGTCTTGAAACTACCTCGCAGCCTCGGTTGTGCTTTGTGTAAACCGACTTATGGAAAGTGGTGAATGTTGAGGTGGCAAATTGCTTGTTTCTTACCACTGTGTTCCAGGTTTTACAGTAAATTCCAGTTGCAACATGTGTGGGGTTTCAGAGTTGATTGGTCCTCTTTCTGAGCAGCAGTAAGGGGGACTCGCGATCGATGCCGTATATTTGCGGGTTTAACCCGCGGAATTCCGAACGCGGGTACAGCAGATTTACGGGATTTCCCGCGGTGTGTCCTTACTGCTGCTGTGTTGGGTACCGCAAACGGAGGTTAAAATATTTGTCGGATATACGATGCATGAATGTAAAAAGTTCGCCAATGACTTCTGTGTGATTTGCCTAAGATTCAAAGTTTAGTAGAGTGTACAGAATCCCATTTTCCCGGCAACCACTTTCGGCTACCTTTTTTTGTGTCCCAAAAGATGCGTATGCGTGTGTCGTTTAAAAGATGTCTTAGAATGTTAAGTATGAGGTTGTTATATTGTTTAGAAGAGTGTATGGATTGTCAGTGCCTCGACAACCATGTTTCGACTACCTTTTTTTGTGTCCCAAAAGATGCCAATCCGTGTCCAAAAAGATGTGCAACCGTGTCCCAAAAGATGTGCAACCGCGTTCCAAAAATATGTGCGATCGTGTTCCCAAGAGATGTGCGATCGTGTTCCCAAAAGATGTGCAACCGTGTCCCCAAAGATGTGCAGCCGTGTCCCAAAAAGATGTGCAACCGTGTCCAAAAAGATGTGCAACCGTGTCCCAAAAGAGGGGCTGCAAACCACCGCCCCTATCGACGCCGTGGTAGTTGTGCCAAAGTCGCCACGTAGCCCGGTAGGCGAATTCCTCGTATTGTCTTTTGCGCTCGGTAGAG